AGTCAGAGAAGAAGACCCCCAGCTCTGTCCTTGGGGGACCCCCAGTCCTGGAGATGGGAGGAGGGAACCCAGGCCTCGACCTCCGGAAACCTTGCGATGGGTGTGGGTCTTGTCAGCTCAAAATGAACAAAACTCTCTTAAAATTTTTTTCTATCATCTATCCATCCATCCACGTCTCTTTCCATCTATCTATCCATCATGTAAAATCAATCTATCTGTCATCTATTTATATATGTATCATCTATCTCTATATATCTATCCATCTATCTATCATTATCTATCTATCATCTCTCTAAATTTCAGGTGATGCCCAGGTTCCAGCCCATGGTAGTTTCCTCCCACCTAGCCGTGCCTCTTCCCTGCCCTGGACCACGTGGGGATAATAGAGGGCACGTTCCAGGTTGCATCCCTTTTTAAAAAAATTTTAAGGGAAAAAGGGAAGCATTTTCCCAGAGGCCCAGTGAGGACAGCTGCTGGGACCCGCGTTGGCCCCGGAAGCAACATTTAGGGCAGGGTTTCTCCCATCAATAGGTACAGATCGTCCTGACCAAGGACATTCCAGAAAGCTCCAGATCATGTCTTGTATTTAGTCTGTGTGAGGCTGCATGGCTCTGACGTCATGGGGACTTATTTGGATGTTTGCAAAGTTTCTTGCAGGTTGTCTACAGCTGAAAGACATGCAGTGTGTGCTGGGGGTGGAGATGCAGTCCCTGCTCTGAGGTCTGGTCATGTCCCTGCAACCTTGGTAGTAGTTAGAGTAGAGCCTCGCTGGGTGCTCAGGAGTGGTCTTGTAGCCGAAAATCTCCTTTATTTGATCTTTGTGGAGCCAGAGGTCCTGTGACCGTGTGTGTCCATGGGTGAGTGCTGGCTGGGACTGTGGTCTCCTCCTGTCTTCAGCCTCCACCTCCCCTTCCCTGATGTTCTATTTAGATCAAACCCTCCGGGTCTTGGAATGATGGTCGCAGCTGCTGGGTCCTGGGAGTTGTGCCCTGGGCGGGAGGCCCCTGTGCCAAGGACACAGTGGGCTCCTCTCTGTGGCCCCTGCTGCCCAGCTCGTGGCCTCTCTCCCTCGATGCCACGCTGACTCGCTGCGCTGCAACACCCAGTGGTGGTCACCGGGATGCCCCAG